AAAAAAAGCTTTAATGGCTAGCATTAAGACAGGAGTATTTTAATAAGAGGTTCTCAAAGAGCCATCTGTACTTCACAAAAAAAAGAAATGCTAAAACATTTGAAACAGTCACTCAAGAGAGAGTGAATTCGGGTTACTACTTCAAACTGGTTTTTCCATTCATAATTACATTACATGTGAATCATTCCCACAAATAAATACACAGAAATAAGTATACTATGAAATGTTGTCTGGAACACACAAGTAACAGCAACCACTGGATTGATTGCCTTGGAGAAATATTTCTAAATAGATTGCAACCAACTGTCTGTTACCTTCATGATCCACTGGAATATATCCCTGTTTTACTATTCACATTTAAGATTTTCTAATGAAACACATGATATAGCAAATCTTAGATACTCTTAAGAGGACTATCATTTATCAGACCTCTGGGTTTTCACAGCAAAATCCAGCTTGCCCATCCTATGGGATAGCCATATTTTTCTGACTCCAAGAATAACTGAAATTACCTGACAAAATGAAATTCAGGGGATTTCTAGAAAGGAGACTATGCAGGTGGTAACATATGTAACTGGCAACACGGGTTCTCCAGTTCCATCTGCTCTAACAGGAAATTCATTACACACTAAGGTTTCCATGTAAAACATCACTGCTCTTCTCCTCTTAGGTACATTTAAGCAGAGGATGCAGTTCTGAGCAGACATCTTGATGTCTCATCAGGCATAGGCAGTTACAGAAAAATTATGGGATCTAGACATCTGTAAACTCTTTCCAGTCAAAGTGAGTGGGAACCCCTGGGAAATAGAAATGTCTAAATCTAGCCTAAATCTACGCTCTTTTAGTTTAAATTCATTAGCCATTGTCCTACTGCAACAGGGCCTGCTAAAAACTTTTCCCCCATCTTTCTTATAGGTCCTCTTCAGGTACCAGAAGATCCCAGAACCAATCCCCAGAACCTTCTTCTCCAGGCTTAACAACACTAACTCTGCTGGCCACTCCTCACAGGAAAGGTGCTCCAGCCCTCTAATCATTCCTGTGGCCCTCCTCTGCAAAGGCTCCAACAGATCCATGTCTTTCCTGCGCTGAGAACTCCAGACCTGGGTGATCTGGAGGCAGTACTCCAAATGGGGTCTCATGAGAGCAGAGTTGGGAGTAGAATCACCTCCTTTGACCTGCTGGCCAATCTCATTGGAATGAATTTGAATTTGCTTTCATATTCTCTTGTTTTCTTTTGTGCCTACCTGCTTGAGGGTCCTATAAAGCTCAGGAAAATGACATTGTCACTCTCAGAGGGTCAAATGCAGTATTTCCCATGGATTTCATTTAGAACTCCACCTAGTTCATGGTACCTCACTGCAACTGAAAATACTACTTAAATCACATCACATCTTGCTTATTAGGGAAAGTGCGGTGTGTACAAATTCTTCAAAAATCACTAAAATTGCATTTTTAATTGAAAAAAACAGGGTGAGGGGGAAGTTGAACAAAATTCAAGACGAACAAAGATCTTCTAACTACTGACCTTGAAACGGTTGATCAGATCATAGCGTGTGAGAAGTTCATAGACAATGAATTTCAGTGCATGATCCCCACTGGCATCATTTAGTGCAAATACATCAAAGGACCACTCATCTACATTCTACAAGAGTAGGTAGAAAAGACAGTTAATATGGTCATCATTTTTACCATGATCATTCAATTTCTTCACTTTCACAATCTGAGAATTCCAGTAGTGATATAAATGTATGGTTTCTTTTTCAATAAATTCTTTATAATCCATTTAACCAATGCAGGATCATCCATGTACTTACAGTATCTGTATACTTATCAGTATTTTGTGACTTCTGTTTAAGAAGCTTCCATTAAGAGCATATAGTCTGTTTGTTTATTCTAAACATGGCAATTCTCTACACCAGAATTTTATCACCAAAGGATGAATCCTAAAAGATAAAACTCCTGGTTTGCTTTAGTACCTGAGACATTGAGATGGTCCTATTTGGGCTGATATGATACATTAAGTGCTAACAATTATATAAAATTCCAACCTTTACAGAAGAATAAGTATCTAATTCCAATTGGGAAAGTTACAGTCAGCTGTAAATTACATACTAGTGCTGCAGGCTGGTCAGTCAAGAGATCAAGGAGGGGAAGTTCACTTCTAAGCTCCTGCATCTGAAGTTTCAGGTCTAACCTTCTTGCAAAATTTTGAGTTCAAATCTCAAATGTGAGGGTAGGCCATGGAAGGTGACAGCAAGAAACGAAGAGAAACACTAATTCTCTGTAAATGCTCAGTTTACTAGCTTTCTGTCTCTTCTTAACCTTGGGGACTCGTTCTGTAAATCAACAAGCAAATTCAGGGATAGATGTCATTCTGCTCCACATCACTGGAAGGCACAACATTTTTGCAGCCGCAGATAAGCAAATGTCTCTACTGCAGACATTGTAAGTGATTAAGGTTCTGTGTTCATTACCTGTATATTTGCTAGAAAATAGCCTAGAAAATATTCCTGTCATGGCGTGGGCATCAGAAAAGACTGAAAAATTAAATTCTAAAGCATGTAACTCTTTTGGCAGTAATTAATGTGAAGTTCTGTCTCTAGCACTAGACTGATGAACAGCAGATCACCACAGTGTACTCTGTAAACATGTCTGTATGAATGGTTTGTATAGTCACTATTCAAATGAAAGACAAGGCTGATTGTCCCTTTTATGACAACCAGTCTTATATCTTCACATCCATGCAATACAGAAAGGCAACATACCATTGCAGTAGAAAAATTAGTATAATATATATATAAAGACAGAGAGATGCTGTGCACTCAAAAAAAAAAGTGACAAACTTCTCATCCACTGAAAAAGTGAGACAGATTATACATCTTGAACTTGTACTGCTACAGCCTGCATTTTTTTGCAGAAGCTGCAGTATTTCATTATTTTGTTAAAACCAATCTCTGTCACAAAGCTGTAATTCCACAGCTTTGGGTTATTAAGTGCAGATGTCCTCTTGGCTACAGCAGCAAAAATGAGAATTTGTAGTTAAAAAATAAGCTTGTTTTGACTTCATTTCATCTCAATCCTTTTCCTTATTACGTGGAATCTGAGGGGAATGTTGATTATGGCAATCCAGAACAGCTGAAAACATGTGTGTGATACACTCCTACACCCTTTTGCATGTTTAAATCATCAGGTCATTTTACAGAGCACACTAAGCAGTCAGGTAGCTGTAAGGGTATTTTAATTGACCTTACTGGACCAAAGCAAGCCACAAAATACACTATTTTCAATGGAGGAGATGGGACTGAGAAATTTAGGATGAAATATTATTTTTAAGACAGAAGACTTCACAGAATCAGAGAATATGCCGAGTTGGAAAGGACCCACAAGGATCATCAAGTCCACCTCCTAGTCCTTCACAGGACATCCCCAAGAGTCACACCATGAGCCTGAGAGCATTGTCTAAATGCTTCTTGAACTCCATCAGGCTTGGTGCTGTGACCACTTTGCTAGGAAGCCTGTTTTGATTTCTTCAAAGTAACTCCCATTTCAACCAAATCCATTACCAAACCCAAAAACATCCAGGCAAAGACGTTCTCAAAACAGTTTTGGGAAAAAAAAAATTCTAGAATGCACAGTGACCAGCTAGGTGCTATTTCACTCTCAGCAAAATTAATCAATGGCTTTGTTGTTATTGGTTTGTTTTAACTTCTTCTAAAATGATCAGTTCTTTTTACAACTTAATCATTTGAAAACATAGAAAAAAGAGAGGAATTCTATAAGGCTGAAGTCAGCTGAGAGTAGGTGATGAGTCTTCTTCTGTCTTGTTACTGCTGAAGAACTCAGGAGAAGAGGTACCATTATAGATATCTTCCCTCATAAGCTGGCTATGGAGTGTAGTTGCAAAAGAATAAAGAATTTACATTCCATTTGCAGGAGTGAAGCTAGCATTTATCAACATGCACTTGGAAAAAGGTGTGGGTGGACACTTTGATTCTGTATTCAAAAGGCATGTTTGATCATTCTTCTTGCAATTCTTCCAAATCTTTTGATGAGTTCTACTCTTCAAAATGAAAAGGATACCCTAACTGTAAATCCTTCCAGAAATGCTGCAAGATGTCTTAATGAGTTTTACACTTAATACCCCTGTGTATTGCCCCACTATATTACCTTTTTTCACCATTGCATGGCACGGTTGAACCACATGCAATATGTAATCTGCAAAGGTGCTGTGTAGGCAGCTCGTTGCCAGCTTCTGTTTGTAGTCTTGGTAATTCCTGCCTAAGTCAAGAATCTTGCAACTGGTCCACGGATTAAAGCTTTGTTTGTTTTTCAGACTACTTCTGACTAATTGTTTTCACTCTGAAACCTCAAAACTCACAGAAGGGTTCATTTTCATAAGGTGATTGTCACTTTGAAGACCTGAAGCTGAACAATGTAAGAAATTCCCTTCTCCCAGAGCAACAGATCCTTTTCCTTCTCCATCTCTCTCCATCTGTGTCTTCTTTCTTCCTTGTGGGATGTTGTGAGTGATTCCTAAATCTTCATTTTAATCACTGTAATCTAGAACAGAATTGCAACCTTCACAACCTGAAAATGGCTGCAGTCTTGAATTTTATTCTTTCTCTTATTGAAAGGATAATCCCTTAGACAAGTTAAATGATTAATGTATGTGAACTAACTGAATGTTAGAGAGAAGGAAAGGCCAAGTATTAAGACCCCCTCTTATCATATCAAATATCAGAGTATTATTTTGATGCTTTGTACAGATCCCCCTTCAATACCTTTTTATTGGGATTACCTTTAGCACTCCAATTACAGCTGGTGGGTAGCTCAAGCCGACCATGTTTGAAGTACGCCTGTACATTCTACCAAGATGAAATAGATAAAGCAACACACAAATAGAATTAAATGAAATGAAACAAACAAACAACAAAACTCATAAAGCAACAGACCATTACAGGAGATCTGATTGAGCCCAGAGAACCCTAACTGGAATATGGACCTTTTCTCCTTCCATTTTGTTCCTAACTTGCCAATAATATCAATACTATTCTTATTGTATAGCTTAATTTGAGACTGTACACTCCCCAGTATCTCATAGCTTGGTTACTGAGCTGAACATGACAAAGAATTTTCCAGCAGCAGGACTACATCAGATTGAAAGGCTACACTCAAAAAAAATGTTCCCCGTTTTCCATTGCACATAACTGTACTGAGCTTTCAGTTCCCTTGGTCCTTGATGGCCCACATGCAAGCTAATTCTGAGTGTAATTCAGAAACAATTTGTATGCAATGAATCAACTGCAATGTGATACAGCTGTTACTTTTGTCTGCATGTTTCCAAGATTACCATAAAACCTTTTGGGTGTTTGCCATGTGTGTGTGTGTCAGAGAGTGAGAGAAAAAGAACAAGGCAATAACCAACATCTGTAACCATATGAAACAAAGTATGTAATGTACTAGATTTTAAACTCGATTATAAAGTATATTTTAAACAGAATATAAAGAGCGTGCAAGTTTTTAAAGTTGTTTCCAGGACACACTCTTTAATAAGGTTTGGTGAATGCAGGAACTCTGTCATAGCTAGAATGTCTTTCCACAGGTCGCCCTTTTTTGCCCTAAAAAGCACTGTAGGACTAAAAAGGAGATGATGGAAAGCTCTCTTCTCCCATCTGAAATGATCCTGTGCAAAGTCCTTCTTCACTGCCATTTTTCTTTGTCATCTTCTGCGCTCAGACCTGAAAAAAGTCATTCCCCTTTGGAGACTTATATTCACCCGTTCCCAAATCACAGAATTTCTTATCCCTTTCTTTCTCCAGTCAGAAGCTCCGTAGCATTCTCTTAAGAGACAATTGAGGCAGAACCCCTTTCTCTTAGCTTAGGAGAGTCACAACCCTCCTCCAGTGCTATATTATATCTGAACACTTCCTTCTTTGGGTCACAGTGATCCAGGTCAGCTGGAAAACAAACTACTGAGACAGCTTTCTGCATTTACTTCCTTGTGGAACAAGTCCCCCACTGAGAGTGAGGGTTAATTCACAAGTAGCCTGTCAAACCTTGGAGAAATCTGTCCCAAGAAGAAATTAGAGGTTTAGCCTTATTACAGTTTGCTGCCACTTTTAACACAGATACAGTAACTTTGGTGCACAGATAAAAATATTGGCTGTAGTCATGACAAAGGAGGCTTCTAGCTGTCTGTATGGATTGTGGTCCACTGTCTGATCTGCATAACCTCCTGCACAGTGAGCTGTTAGGCTGTCACTGCAATTCTGATCAACAGTGAAAGGTGCTCTGCTTTTCCATTCCTCACTTGAATTTTTCTGTTACAAAATTAGAGATCTGAGAGCTGCTGTCTTCAGTTTCACATGTGCCAGCCCTCCTTCTTGCTCAAACAAAGAAGGTCAATGAAGAGAAGACAAGAAAAGGTAAGGTTAGAAGTGAGTCCAAATTGAAATGAATAAATGTTTTAAAGGGTTAAAAAAGTAAAATCAGTTTTAGCGACAGGTTGTGATGTAAATCACAAGAGGGAAGGCTGAGAGAACTCAATGGCTTTTTTAAAAATCCTCCCTGAGCTCCAAAATTTTCACATCAGTTTTGATCTATATTATTATTCCAGTAATAATATAGCAAAGGATTTCGTTCTGTATCTTAGCACTTCTTCATAAGAAATATTAGACCACAGAGGTAAATGGAAGCAAGGGAAAATTTGATCTGTCCAAATTTTAAATGCTGTCACTCCCGACCTAGGACTATGCAGAAGTGTATATTGTCCATGAAAATTATACCAAGTGTGCTATTACATCTGTACTATAGTAAGAACAGAGGAGTAGGTATTGTTTTAGTTTGCAATCTTTTACTAAATCCCGTTTTTAGGTGTTACCTGTGTAGAAACACTAACAGAAGCGCATTCTTCATTCAGTAGTCTTCTACTTATCTGAGGTCTTCTGGTCTAAGGTACTCTCCTCCACCTCCTGTCACTGTGCCATCACACGCTACAGATGAAATCTGCAGTACCTGAGTAGTTACTAGAACAAAGTAATTACATGACACTTTACCTTTCCACAAATATCCCAGCTTGCACTGCATGGACGATACTCCTGAACCGGGGTTTTTCCTCAGTCCTTTTGAGCATCATCCCCATTTGCCGTGTGAAGGTAGAAGCCAACCAGTCACGGACCTCTGATGGCACAGAGTCAGACCGAATATCACTGAGTTCATCTTCTGTGTCCAGTAAACGCCTAGAAGGATGAGAAAACAGACTGCTAAACAGACTTCCTTAGAGAGCACTACAATATCATTAACAAAAAAAGAAACTCACATATATTCCAATTATAGCAGGTGTTAAAAGTCTTTGATTCATCAGCCCTAATAAAACACAATAGTACAAGTCTTCAACTGCTTGTTTATTTTCTTATGTACTTACATTTCAGATTGTGAAACTCGCTACTAGGCTGAAAAACAAGAAGTATCAGCCTTCTGAACCACAACTGAATGATCTTCTACTGACTTCACATTTTCAGCTCATCAATATTGCTGAACTTTCTGCCTTTCAAAGGTAATTTATGGTCATTTCTAGGAATTTCTAGCTTCTGAGTTAGTAACATACAGTCCTCTCCTCTCCCTTTCTGGTCATCTGTGTTGACCCTACAAGTGCATTTATCACTGAGTAAATGGCATGTAACCAATAGGGGAACTCCTCTGCAATGTATTACCAGTCTACCTCTGTCATGAGTAAATTTTTTTCAATTTCAAAGACATCATACAAGTGAAAAATGTAACATTATTCAGAAGAAATAGTTGAGCAGAAATTTAGAAACTGTCAGAAAAAGTAGAACAATTACTATGAAAATATTTCTCTGAGAAAAAGTGTATTACAATTATGATTGGTTTTGATCTCCTTCCCTGTCCCAGGAAACTTAAAGAAGCTTTAAAATGAAGGTTTGAAGATCTGTTCTACACAGAATACAATATTCTAATGATTAAAACCACATTGTCTATGAGTAATAAATCTTGGCTCAACCAACTTTCACAATTGACATGTAAATTACAACTGGTGCTAGATACAGGAGTGCTGATGTCTGTAGTTAGCTCACCTGGTTTCATCAATGTATACTGACTCAAGAACAGTCGCTGCATATTCCAAATTCTTCTTTAGATCTACAACTGAAGCTTCTCCTCTCTCTAATTGCTTTACCAAAGACCGCAATCTAAAGCAAAGGAAAACAAAAATCAGATTAGTATAAAGCAAAATAGGTTGAGAGTGAGTGTCAGTTCCCAGGATGAGACCTAGCATACACCTTGAAAGGTGAAAACTTTTGGAAGTCTGCAAGTTTTTTGAAGTTTTTTTCACGTTGCTACATGAAATCAACAAGTCCATGAGTTATCACAGAATCATACAATCACAGAATGATAGAATATGCTGAGTTGGAAGGGACCCATCAGTATCACTGAGTCCAACCTGTGACCCTACACAGGACACCCCAGGAATCACACCATATGCCTGAGAGCATTGCCCAAGGGCTGCTGAACTCAGACTCCTTGAGTCCTGTCACTAGTCATGAGAGTGAAGAGATCAGGATCTGCCCCTCCACTTCCCTCATGAGATTGTCGAAGACTGCAATGAGGTCTCCTCTTCTCCAGTCTGCACAGATCACATGGTCTCAGTCACTCTTTATAAGGTTTTCCCTCCAGACCTTTCACCATACTTGTGGCCCCCCTATGGACACTTTCTAATAGTTTAATATTTTTCCTATATTGTGGTCTGCAAAACAGCACACAGTACTCAAGGTGAGGCCAAACCAGTGCAGAGCAAGGCAGTACAATCACTTCCATTAATCAGCTTTCTGTTCCCTACTCAAAACTGAAATAAGTGAAAATGGAAATCACTTAAAATTTAACACAAGAGCTAAGAGAGGACAATTTCAATCCAGCCATAAGAAGAAACTTCTTGAATAGTACCTGTTAACAAATGACTGGTTTTCCCAATGATTGAGGTACACATGCAAAACTCTATTGAGTACACTTAGAAACACTATTGTAGAAATACAAGGTTAGGATTTTCATTAGATCAAGCAGCCACCCTTTGACTATCCTATGTATATTAAACAGGAGTCACAACTTTCACATCCAAACAGTAAGAATTGCTTCATTTGCCCCCTCCTTTCTTCATTCCATGTATGGGGAGTCTGCAGATATAACCCCTTAACTAGCTACCAGAAACATTGTACACCAGCCATAGGAGTCAATATTAAAGAAAGAACACGACCTTTGGCTCTTCCTACATCTGGCAGCTTTATGCTGCAACTCATTCAAAATTCAATAATAGCACAGTGAGTAATGATTGCTTCATGGAACAAACATTCTTCATTGAAGATTATGCAAAGTACTGTGTGCATCAATCATTTAGAAAAACAGAAGTGCCATTGTTTCTCACACCATCATGTGAAAATATTACACTGTCTTTGTCTTAGTATCCATTATCTCTGACTATTGCTGATTCATTGAGTCACAGCAGCTGCTCCCAATTAATTGTACTAAGTAAGAGACTGATGATAGTTTGCCTTTAATGTATTTCATGTATCTGTTTTGGGTTTTTTTAATAATCCTAAATGGACTGAAGAGAATCCAGGCAAATTTATTAGCTGAAAAATTTTGCTTCAAAGTGTCTGAAATAATTTTGAAATTCAATCAAATTCATCTGTAGCACTTAGGAACACAATTTAGTGACAGCTTGGCTGGTGCAGTTGGACTCAATGATCTCAGCAGTCAACTCTAAGATCAACTCATTTGTGATAACATTCCTTTGAGAGCCAGCTCAAATAGCCTTAAAAAAAAAGATAAAATCAACAATAAACTATAAATTAACAAAATCGTAGTCAGAAGAAGATCTGAGTGCATAAAAGTCAGCTTCAGTATACACACACAAAAAGATGAAAAGTTGCTCCTAAAGTTTAGAAGATAAACATCTTCTGAACTGAAAGATAAAACCCTGCCTTCTGATCTTCAGCACATTCCTCACTCTCCTCTGGAAAACCACCATAACTACTGGTAAGAAATTTTTACTAAGTTTGAGAAGCAGTGAACTGTATCAAAGAATTCCTACACAGAAATAGGCGTGCATCTGCCATCTCACTATAATGTGCAAACTTGATAAATCTGATATTCTGAGAGTCATATCAGAGTTAGAGAGCACGTGCAGACTATCTAAGTATGAGCTCAGAGGGTGCCCTGATGCCTTGCAACAATGTCTGTCTGCCTGTCGTGGTGCAAAAAACCTGTAAAGCACATACACAGGATTCGTTAACACTGCCAAAAAGTATCCAGAGCAGACTACATGTGGTTATGCATGTAATGCACATGTGCAGTAGTTGCAGTCAGCTGGGCAGACTGATGTCTCCATAGTTTGCATAGCAAATCCCTGAAACCCCTTCCAACTGAGAACTGGTGGGAGACGTACAGCATACACAACAAGTAATCCAGAAGCTCACCATCTTTTTTTACAACAATCAGTAGGTATTATTCATTCCACAGTCTGCCACATCTTAATGTAAGTCTCTGCATATATATGTATATAATGTATATACCACTGAAGAAAAGACACAATATGGAAAGCCAGCTCATGTAGTACGACTCAAAATGAAACCGAAAATAGAATAACTGGTAGCCTGTGACCCAAAGAATTTTTATTGGGCTGGATATCTATCTTCTGTCACTACTTTTGTATACAAAAACTGCACGTCACAACATTCAGAGGAAATAAAAACCTGTTTGCAAACAGCAAACACAATACTGCTACACTGGCATTTTTAATCAAAAAAATTTATATGTAATTTCCCAAGTAAGCTCTTTGCCTTCTTTACATTTCCTGAAATATCCTTCTTCCTTTGAACAAAAATACAAACATTAAAAATTGTAAGTAATCAATTTTTTTTTTATTATTATTATTACAAGCATGAAAGTACAACAGTGAAAAGTTCAGCAGCCTTGGCAGGATGGTAAAATGTTTGTTTCAGCTCACCTTGAGTCAGATAAACTTCTGACAACATTAGACAACTGTAAGTGAAATTGCATAGTTTAGGTTTTCACTTTCCATTTATAAATTCCTTCATGCCTATTGAAGCAAGTCGTGTGCTGGAAACTTTAGCAAACTTTGGCTTGCAATAAAACAACAGCCTAGGCACTTCCTTAGTACCAGGTCCTGTAAATTGTCATTGTCTCACTCTCCTGCTACTGAAAATTTTTAAAGGATGTGCACTCCTCCAGTATGCAAACACCTCCCCCATTCCCAGGCTCTGAAAGAGAAAATATAAGCAGTTATAACCCCCTGTTTTGGTTTTTTTTTTTTATTCAAGTCAACTACTTCACCTAGCATTAACCTTTTATAGAAATCAGGTACACAGATGATCATGGAAGTCACTGGAGATGGATATCAATGTTAACCACCTGCCTTTTATGTACTTCCTCAGGAAAGGGTGCACTGCCTCTTCGATGTGCCTGCCTTCCCTCACTAGTGAGAGAAATGAGCTAGGAGACTATTTCAGGCAGTCATTGTGGTTTCAGACAGCTAAGATGAGGTGAGATGACTCATTCCACTGAATAAATGTGAGAGCTGAACAAGGATAAATTTCAGATGTGAGAGAGAAGAAAGGATGCTATATTCTTTTTTCACAACCAGCAATCTTCTAATTGGTATTTCCCCAAGCAAGACTTCCTGTTGGCAGAGTAGGTCTTTTTGAGATTTTAGTGTGAATTAGTTTTTCAGGGAAACTGTTCAAATGCAATCCAATCATTGAATTTGTTGACAATGACATCCAAAGACAACAAACGAAATCTTCCAGAATTAAGCATTTTCAAACCACTGCTGCCTTTTATGAAAAAAAAAACTTCATTATAACACATCAGACACAAATCTAACAATTTTTAATTTGCATCTTTAAAAATAGGTACCTGAAATAAACTGTCAATAAATATATTTAATATGCAATAAATACATAATATATTATATATATGATATATTATATATATATGATGTGATATATATAATAAAACCGTAAACAATAAGATCACCTGCCCTGGACTTAGGAGAGCAGACTCTGGCATCTTTGGGGACCTATGTTGTAGAGTCTCCTGTGTTAGAACCCTGGAGAGCAGAGGGGCACAAGAATACTGGCTAACATTCAAGGATCTCTTCCTCCAAGCTCAGGAACGATGCATCTCAACAAGAAGACATGGGGCAAAAATGCCAAGAGACATCCAAGGAGCTGCTGAGCATCTCACAGGTAAAAAAGAAGTTTACAGAAGGTAGAAGCAAAGACAAGCTAAAGCCTAGTTAGAATTGAGTCTAGCCAGAGATGTCACAGACAACAAAAAGAGCTTCTATAGGCATCTTGCTAACAAAAAAATGACGAGGGATAATGTGGGCCCTTCCCATGAAGGAAGTAGGAGACCTGGCCACCTGGATAAGCCTGGAATATGGAGAAAACTGAGGTTCTCAATGAATTCTGTGCCTCAGTCTTCAACAGCAAGTGCTCCAGCCACCCTGCCCAAGTCCTGAAAGAAAAATGCAAGATCTGGGAAAATGAAGACCCTAAGCCTACTGTAGGAGGGAATGAAATTCAAGGCCACTAATGAACCAGAATGTACACAAGTCTATGGGATCTGATGAGATTCATCCATGGGTCCTAAGAGAACAAGTAGATAAAGCTGCTAACCTACTATCCACCCTACTTGAGAAATTGTGGTAGTCAGGTGAAGTTCTTGATGACTGTGTGTTGATTTGGCACTGCCTGGTTTTTTGGTGGCAGATGTAAGGTGGGGGGATGGGGCACAGGGGTGACTTCTGTGAGAAGCTGCTGGAAGCTTCCACCATGTCTGACAGAGCCAATCCCTGATGGCTCTGAAGATGGACATGCTGCTGGGCCAAGCAGAGAGGTTGGTGACGCCTCTATGACGACTAATTAAGAAAAAAAAAAAAATCAAAGCAGTGCACACACAGTTTTTGTTACCAGGGCTGGCGAGGCGCTGCCACCAGGAGCCATCCTGGCACAGCCAGCGGTGATGCTCTGCCCCAGCCGCTGCCATCTCGGTGTGGCCCACAGCAAGCCTTGCCTGCCTGGCTGCCCCAGCCCAGCCACACCACGGGAGGAAGGGCAGAGGGTGCCCGTGGCTTCTCCTTCCCAGCCCCACACATGAAGAGAGGCCTTAAATA